CGAGGGTCGCCTCACCTGGGCTAGGTGAGCGAGGGTGACCCTCACTTGATGCCGGCGAGGGCGAGGGTTGCCCTTGCCGGATATGGCGAGGGTCGCCCTTGCCCAACGCCGACGAGGGCGACCCTTCCCTTGCCCGACGTGGGCTAGGTGGCCCTCGCCTGAGGCCGGGGAGGTCACCGGCCAGGCATAGTGACGGCTGGGGAGGGAAAAAGAAAAAAGGAAAAGGAAAAGAAAAGTAAAAAAATATAAAATATATATATGCTTATAATTTTTTTTTAACTAAAATACACCTTTTCCGGCGACGGAATAGTCACCGACTGGCCCAAGGTCCTTATTTGAGACGATTTGGCCACTTCAAGTCCTTATTTGAAACGATTGGCCACTTCATGCCCTTATTTGAGACAATGTCTACTTTAGACCCTTATTTGAGAAAATGACTCCATTTCGGGCCGCTTTTTGGAATTTTTTCTTTTTTTAATAAGCCGGAAGCCTAACGACGAACATGAAAAGTCAATCAACTTGCTATTGTTTACAAAATCAAAGAGAATATGTTTTTGAAATTCGATAGCTATTTCTTATCTAGTACATTAGGATAATTGGTAATGACCTTTTTATATATTACGTGAATCAATTCTAATGTTTTTTTTTTTTTTTTCAGAAACATCAATGTTACATCTGTAATTAAAGTTTTTTTTCATCAAATTAACGTAAAAGGTAACGGTTCTTCAGTAACGTGAAGAGAATTGGAAGAGAATGAAGGTTTGTGATTATGCGCCTCAATTACATAGATGCGTTCTATCCAACTTTCTTATTATATATTTATAATTCGCGAAAAATTACAAGTCATATTTGAAAATCTGTCAGCCTAGCTCACAAATTTTTTAAGGTTTTCGCTTGTCCACTTCTAATAATTCTCTTGAGACATGAGAAATTTTAAGGTTTCTTAAGATTCTTAACGTACTATACCACTAATTTTTTACAATTATTTTATACTTAAGAACGTCATAAATTGATTTTACTGCATTTTGTGTATCCAATGAAGATAACCTATTGTGACGTTGTACGGTACATGTACAGATACTTTCATCATCTGAAAATTACAAGTCATATTCAAAAATTGGTTACACCGGCTCACAAACCCGAAAAACTTTCATGCCTCCGCTGCTAATAATTCTCTCGAAATGTGAGAAATTCTAAGATACTTTGGTGCATCACGCCCTTGCCGTTCAACAATTGTTTTATATCCGGTTACGAATTCCCGACCGATTACTGTAACATCATGAAACTAATTTCACTACATTTACTCATTTGATCACAATGAAGTGTCGTTAGCGAGGTTGTAAGATAACACTCGGGAAACCCTAGAATTTGCTCTCCGAAGCGTCGGGCTCCATTCTCTTTCGACCTTCGAGTCGCCGACGTCTCCGCCATAGTCAGCAAAGCTAGCAGAAAAGCTACATCGAGGACTGCACCACACGGTGGTTTGCCGCCCCCCCCAGGCCATTGGAAATTAGAATTTTCCAAGTTTGCATGCCATGCCATGCCTCCGGCAATGGAAAAATCCAAAGGACGTCACATCAACCATCGAGTCAGCAAGGATGTGATATGTCGCGGATCCGTCTCCGTTTTCAGTCGTTATTTTGTCATGGATGATGGATAAAAGATGGACAAGTCTCTTTTGCATGTATGATGTCATACATTGTGGTCAACTGTGTAAATTTGAGCGCGCACCAACGTCATTTCCAAATTTGAGCGCGCAGCAATCGGCTTTTCCCCGTTCCACGTGAGGTTCGGCATTTTAAAATACCGAATCATCACTTAATCCCATTTTTAATTGAGCATCAAACTGACTAGGACTTTGCATTTCTTAGGATATTGGAAGATGTGATTATAGATGATAGATTTGTAAGGAATGCCAAGTGTGTTTTTGGGGGGATTCTATTAAGTAATCAAATAAAAAAAAAGTTTACTGCAATATTCGGGTGTGAATTTCTCTAGTAATGTGTGTGCAAGCGATAACAACATAAATAGTTAATAAATATCTGTATAGGGCTTGTTCACATGATTAATTGGATGTTGCTAGTGAATATTTCGAAGACATTTGTTAGGAAACTAGTCAAGTGAGCAAACTTTTTTATTTTTGGTCGAAAAGAGAGCAAACTTGGAAATACTAATTTTTTTTTATATTAGGTATATTGAAGCTTGGAGAACTCGATATTATTTTTATTTCAATTTGTTCATGGGCAGTCATCAAGTACTTAAATAAAGAAGGTTTATCATTTTCAAGATGCATTTTTTTCTCACGCTTACATCAAGACATAAAATATATATTTTTTTATCTAGTGTAAATATAAGCGTACTATTAAGGGTAGCTGTTGAAAATATTTGTTTTTTTATTAAGCATGCTTAAGAATTTTTTACTACTAAAACCATAAAGATGGAGCATCAGACGTTCCCTCTCAAGCACAAGCTGCTTAAACCATCCTACATCCTCTCTCTCTCTCTCTCTCTCTCTCTCTCTCTCTCTCTCTCTCTCTCTCCCCTGTGCATTCATCAATGGCGGGCGAAGTGCAGATGTTCTTCTTCCCTCTCATGGGCGGAGGCCACCAGATTCCCATGATCGACCTCGCCTGCCTTCTCGCCTCCCACGGCGTCAAGTCCACCATCGTCGCCGCCCCTAACAAAGCCATCTCCTTCCAACGCTCCATCGCCCGCAACCAGGACTCGGGCCTACCCATCTCCATCCACCCCCTCGAGTTGCCCCCGGGCTCCGAGCCGCCCAACTCCGACATGTCCGCCGCCCCCTTCACCAACACCTCCATGCTCCAGGAACCCCTCAGGCTCTTGCTCATTGAGAGGCCACCCGACTGCATCGTCGTCGACACCTTCCACCGCTGGTCGGCCAATGGTCATCGACGAGGTGGGAGTTCCCAGGATCCTGTTCCATGGGAACGGCTGCTTCTCTCGGTCTGTTTATCCAGTTAAGTTTGGGCAACTGGACAAGTTTACCGGGAAGCAGTACCTTCGCACAGCAGGTCTCGAGGCTTCCGGCTATCCGTACATCTGGGCGTACGGGAAAACCTTGGAGATGGTGCAATCCGAATACGAGCCGTTTGAGATCCCGGGCCGGCCGAATAGGATCGAGATGACAAGGTCGCAGCTTCCGCATTTTCACAAGCATCCAGGTGGCGGGAAGCCGCCTGGTCGGATGTGGAATTCGGAGGAGAGGAGTCTTGGGGTTGTGGTGAATAGCTTTCATGAGCTGGAACCGGCTTATGTGGAGTACTTCAAGAAGGAGATGGCGAAGAAAGCTTGGGTGGTCGGACCCTTGTCGCTGTGCAATAGGAATGTGGAGAATAATGCCGAGAGAGGGCAACGAGCTGCTATTGATGAGCACAGTTGCCTGAGTTGGCTCAATGCTAAAGAACCCAACTCTGTTCTTTACGTTAGTTTTGGGAGTTTGGCCAGGTTGACCCTGAAACAGCTCCTTGAGATTGCATATGGTCTCGAGGCTTCGAACTTTTCGTTCATTTGGACGGCTGGGGAAATCATTGAGTCGTTGGAAAATGGAGAGAGAGGCCGAGAGGATTGGCTTCCGAGTGGGTTTGAAGAGAGATTGACGGAGTCCGAGAGGGGGTTGATTATCAGAGGATGGGCACCGCAGCTGTTGATTCTTGAACACCCTTCGGTGGGTGGGTTCACGACGTACTGTGGGCGGAACTCGATTCTGGAGGGTGTGAGCGACGACGTTCCGATGGTCACTTTCCCGCGCTCGGCTGAGCAGCTTTTCAATGAGAAGTTGGTCACTGATGTGTTGGGGATTGGGGTCCAGGTTGGGAGCATGGTGTGGATGTCTTGGAACACCGAGCCGGGCCCGCCAGTGGGGAGGGAGAAAGTGGAGGCGGCCGTGGGGAAATTGATGGATGGAGGAGAGGAGGCGGCGGAGATGAGGAGAAAAGCCCAAGAGCTTGGAGAGAAGGCCAAGAGAGCCGTAGAAGAAGGTGGGTCGTCGTATGAAGATGTTGAGGCCTTGATTCAAGAGCTCAAGTCTCGCAAGAAGGTCTAAGTAAGTTTGAAGTGATCGAGTCGGTACTAAATTATCTCAGTGTACCACAAATGATATTGGCCTTGCGTGAGCAGCAAGGAGAGTTCAAACTCGTCAACAATGGCTGTAGACCCATACTGGCGCTGTCTGTGACGTTGCACTCTTATAAGTTAATAATATTTGAAACTGCACAATTACTTTAACCTGTTGTTAAATATATAAGTAATATATATCAATATGTTATAGAGAGCCATACATAGCAGCCGCCGCTCTCTCCCTTGGAGCTCTCTCTCTCTCTCTCTAGCTGCTCCTCCACCGGAGAGCTCGACTCCGGCCGATTCCGCACCGATGCTCATACTCGAGGTAGGATTCTCATCTTTTGTGATCGATTTATCGTGATCGCCCGGGGATACTAGGATGAATATAGTCTAAAATCGAAATACAATCTTCTATCCATGTTCAATTCCGAGTTAGGACGTGAAAGAAATTCGAAAATCGAATCAGAATCCACCCTAATACTTTCAACCTCATGAAATTGCTTGATGAAATACTGGGTAATGCTTGCTGGTCATGACCTTAGGATTAGGGTTTGATGTGTGTTTTAATGTTGTTTGGCCTCTAGATGTTCATATATTAGTTTCTGGGTTTAGGGTTGAATGTGATTGAATACGGATGAATGTAGGTTGAATATTCATAAGCTTAAGTTTCGAGATGCAAACCTTTTTACCAAAAACTCAAATTGCCCAACCCCTAGCTGTTCCCCGACTTTTCTGAATTTTTGTGTCTCGAAATTTGAAAAAAATTCGTTCACAAAAGTTGTAGCTAAGATTTCAATCTTTCAAATGACACAGATCTCATAAAATTTAGGGTTCATTTAGCCAGTACGATGGCCTTTCTAAAAGACGATTTTCCTGAGGTGTTTGATCCAAAACTTTCGATTTCTTGTCGACTGATTTTAATTTGGGTTCGTTGAGGAAGTGAGAGCCTTTGCTACCAACAACCCAACAGTTGCTTGCATATCAAGAATAGCAGCACCCATCCCTAACAGGTTCAACATGATGCCATTCTTCAAACTTTTGACTACATCTGCTCGAGGAGGGGCCTTTATATTGTCATACATCATCACAGCACCACTCATTAGTATCAGGAGTGACAAACACAGTCTCACGGCTAGGATAATTGGTCAAAACAGGCTTTGTATAACTGGTTGATACAAATATCAGATCAGAGAAGAGCTGAACCAGACATTCAATTGAAATGCAGTCATCATTCAGAGTAAACACACAAGGAAGGTTGACGAACACTAAGGAACACTTTGTGAGCACAAGAACACTTGGGGAACACTTTCACATTGTGGAAAGCTCCATCGCTAGGCACACATGTGAGCGCAAGAACACTTGGGGAAGCGGGGTAGCACGTGCATTGCAATTCAAGAGGAATTCATTTAAGCATGCAGATGCTGAATGGCTAACATGCATTTCCTTGCATACATGGATTTTATTGCTTGATACATAGGGCAAGCTCTTGATAAAAGGAAGCTTATGAACGTGGTTAGATACCTTCGAGGGATCATTAGCAGTTTTCCGAAGCTTCTCAGATAGCCGAATATATCCAAATGACCAGAAGACAGAAATGAACGCTGCCGCTATCGCGTCGGCAGTGGCGTAAAAAGTGGCCAGCGATGTGACCTTTCCAGTTATAACCACGGAAAAGGAAAGAATAATCGCAGCCACAACAGTGCACACTAGCTGTCCCCAAAACCCTAAATTCCCCAACCTCCGGAAATACCTTGAGGTATTCTCTAGTCTTTTGGCTACCCGCACAACATCATAGGCAAAATCAAAACTTTTAAACCGAACCCGTAAGAACCGAATGAACCGACTGGCGTTAACCTTCGATCCAACATTGCCCAAGGATCACAGTAACAGACACTCCATTTTTACATTCACTGTTCTATGAAGTTGCCAGTTCCATTATTCACAGCCTCACACTCACACATGACAATTACAGCCAAGTTCACAACCCCAATCCCAGAAGAGGGAGAAACAAGATAGTCTGAATTTTGGACGTAAAGCAATCTAATTTGATCCCACCTGAAGTAAAACTACCATTCAGCACGATTTATAAGAGGCGGGTATACCAAGAAAATAACCAATATTCAATTCCTTCAGTCTCAAGTTCTCACAAGTTCAAACCCAGCAAACAGAATCACCGAATAAAGGGACGAAACATAAGTTAACTCAACCTGGGCAAGTTTCACCTTCTCGGCATCGTCGTTCGGAGAAGTGGAGGCAGGAGAAACCGGAGAGGAGGCCATCAAGGTGGAGAACAGCTTTGATCGTCTGTAGCCGAGAGCATCGCGAGGCGAAAGGGATGTCAAGGGAAAGACGTTCGATCTGTGAGCCGGTCCAGCGGTGGAGAGAGAATTCGGAGAGGAAAGATAAGGACGGTGGCCGACGCGCAATGGCGGCTCTTGGGCAGCGAGGCGACGGAGGTACGGCGATGAGGCGGGACCCAACGGCGCCGGGAACGTGCCGGAGCTCGCCGCCGGCGCCGGCAAGAGGAGGCTCTGCATGATTTGAAGGTCACCGAGTGAAGAATGGAATATGCTGAAGCGAGGTCGGAGCAGAAATGGGGCAAAAAGAGAAGTGGGCGCTCCAAGTAGATATTACTTTCCCTTTGTCTTTTCCTTTTCCCATTTCATTTCTTTATAAACATTATTATAGTGAAAACATAAGAAAAAATTAGCATCCACGTAATAGAATTTTATGAATAATCGAAACAAGTACTTAATAGATTACTGAGTTTAATAAGCAAAAATAAATTATCGCTTATATCAATTGAGCTACTTTCATGTGTTTTGTCATTTCTAAAACTTTCGAGAATATTATAGTATGGTTACCTCGTAATTTTTTTTGTAATTTCACCTGTATAGATTAAAAACTAGAAGCTTTTTTCTTGAAAAAAAGGGCAAATTTCACATAATCTTACGAATTAGATAATACCATAAAAACAAAATAGAAAGAAAAACCTTGCAAGGGATTCACTCTCATAACATAGGAAGAACTTGCAAATAATGGAGAGCAGAACATATGTCGACACAACCATCTTCTCCATTGGAGACAAATCTTGATGAAGTCTTCTGGACTTTTTGCTTCAAAGAGGAAGGCTGGTAACTGCGTTCCTAACAAAAATAGATACTGCAACTTGAATGAGAGAACTTTGACAATAAAATCACCTTACACTACCTTCACATCCCGTGATCGAAGCAGAAGGCACGCGATTAAATGTGAGAGACTGTAATTTGGTGAGAAAATATTCGGTGGTTCATGCGAGCCACGTCACGTGCCTATGTGGCACACATAAACTCACGCGGATCACTGATAATAGGACATGTAGCTCTGACTTGAAATAAAAAAAAATAAAGTTATATTTCGAGTCTCCCTCCTCTAGCGCCCTAGGAAGAAGACTCTCTCCTCTGTGCTTATAGGAGGAGGCGTGAGCAAAGAAGTGAATTAATTGCTGTGTTCTCTCTCTCCCCCTCTCCCTCTCTTTTCACTTTCACGTGAATTTGAATGTCCATTTCTTTTTCACTCTTCTCCTTCCCTTCCCAGAAGGCTTCTTCTCATCTCATCCCTGTTCTTAGCTTTTCTTCTTCACTTTTGTCGTCGGTGGCTCCGCAAACCGCCGGTGAAAAGCAGAAGGTCAATCGCAGTGGCTGGGTCCCGAGACCCCCTTCGCCTGCGCCTGCGCCTCCGTCCTCTGCTCGCCTCGCGTGCCCGAAAGGGAGTGAGGCAGAGGTCAAGGGGCGGGTGACTGCCCTTGACATACGAGCTTGGCGGCGAGGTTGGGAGACGGCATTTTTTTTCTTTGGTTGAAGGCGGCAGCTCCCATGGCGAGAAGGCCGTTGCTGCCGCCGAGCCCAAAGCAGCTGCAAAGCCGAAAGTTATGGCGGGTGTGAAGAGAAAGGCGGCCAAGAAGCCGAAGTTGAAGCCTGCGACGAAGGCGGTGAAGACTTCTGCCAAGGCGACGCCCGGGAAGAAAGCTGTGGAGAAGGTTGCCGCCGCGAAGCTAAAGAAGACGCCGGCGAAGAAGCCGAAGAGCGTGAAGACGCGGATAAAGAAAGCCAAGAAGTGAGTCAATGCTGTGTTCTTTACTAGCGTGAGGCAGAGGCCGAGGGGCGGGTGACTGCCCTCGACAAGAGCTTCGGTTCTCAAAGTTCTTCTCGATCAATGCGAGCTTCACCTCGGCATCTTGGCGCACCACAGTTAATCAAGCTTGATCGCATGAAGAAGAAAAAATACTGCAAGTAGAGGAAAATTCTTGGGCTCCGTTTTGTTGCTTATTCTTGTAATTTTCTTATCAGTTGCATGTCTTTATTGCATTGTTTAGATAATATGAGCAAAAGAATGAACTCAAACAGCGAATCGTGTTACTTTGGGTTGTCTTCCCCTTCAAGCTTTCGACAGCTAATTTGTGCGTCTTTGTTGGCCATCACGAGCTCGACAACGAAGTACGATCTTCTACGAAATCGTATCCTATGCTTACTATTTTTTTTTTTGGGTTTCTTGTGTTGTGCACAACGTAGAAACAACTTTTGTTGCTGGTCGCAAGTGGTCGCGTAGCTACTAGGCTTCTGCTATTTCACAAGGCAAACGGCCTTACCAAATTTCATATATACATGCATATCACTTGTTACTCCGAGAAAATCGAATCCCGTGCCATCGAGACCTAGCAGCCGAATTAGATTTGGGCCATCGAAAGGGGACTTTCGGCAGCCCGAGACAAGTTTTGATCAAGAAAAAATGTCGTCGCATCTAGATAATTCCAAGGATCAGTCCGTGTTTAGCAAGATGAATCGAATTCGGCGATTCTACAAAATGGACGCGCTCGCGTGGTTTCTCGCGTGACCATATTGAGAGACGTGGCCGTAAAACTTGATGTGTAACCACGTGAAGTCGGCGCTGTCTTCACGCCGTGCTCTGGTCAAATTTCAACCTTAGTGATCTCGCCATGTTCATATGAGGCGTCAAAAAAAGCTTGGACATGTCGGCAATGTGGATGGATGATGACAACGATGCTGAGGATCATCTGGCTTGGGCTTGGAGGAGAGGATCTCTAGCATTAAAAGTAGGAAGGAAGTCGAAGATGTGAAAGATGAGAAAATGATCATATGAGAGAAAATCATATTGATCTATGAGAAAATCAACTGAGGGCCGACTCTTGCACAATACTTTGTTTAGGTTACACAGCCCGAATGACAAACTATAACATTTTGTCCTCTCCCTTCAACCAAAAAAAAAAATGCCCTCTCTCGAACCCGTCCCTAAGCTTGTACTTGCTCCCGAAGAACTTCGACAACCCGAAGCTCTTGTCGAGGGCAGTCACCCGCCCCTCAGCCTCTGCCTCACGCTAGTAAAGAACGCAGCACTGACTCACTTCTTGGCTTTCTTCATCCACGTCTTCACGCTCTTCGGCTTCTTCGCCGGCATCTTCTTCAGCATCGCGGCGGCAACCTTCTCCACAGCTTTCTTCCTGGGCGTCGCTTTGGCAGAGGTCTTCACTGCCTTCGTCGCGGGCTTCAACTTCGGCTTCTTGGCCGCCTTTCTCTTCACACCCGCCATAACTTTCGGCTTTGCAACTGCTTTGGGCTTGGCGGCAGCAATGGCCTTCTCGCCATGGGAGCTGCCACCTTCGACCAAAGAAAAAAAATGCCGTCTCCCAACCTCTCTCCCAAGCTCGTATGTCAAGGGCGGTCACCCGCCCCTTAGCCTCTGCCTCACTCCCTTTCGGGCGCGTGAGGCGAGCAGAGGGCGGAGGCGGAGGGGGTCCCGGGACCCAGCCACTGCGACCGACCTTCCGCTTTTCGCTGGCGGTTTGCAGAGCCACGACGACGAAAGTGCAGAAAAAAAGCTAAGAACAAGGATGAGATAAGAGGAAGCCTTCTGGGAAGGGAAGGAGAAGAGTGAAAAAGAAATGGACATTCAAACTTACGTGAAAGAGAAAATAGAGGGAGAGGGGGAGAGAGAGAGCACACTTCTTTGCTCACGCCTTCTCCTATGGGCACAGAGGAGAGAGAGTCTTCTTCCTTAGGCGCCAGAGGAGGGAGACTCAAAATATAGCTTTTTTTTTTTTATTCCAGGTTAGAGCCACATGTCCTATTATTAGTGATTCACGTGAGTTTATGCACGTCACGTAGGCAGGTGACGTGGCACGCACGAACCACTGAATATTTTCTCGTAATTTGGTAGAGAGATATTGAAGAGGAGATTGGACTGCACTAGAGTCTGTACATCAGCTATGGTGGGCAAGGAAAAACGGGCAAAGCAATCTTTTTCGTGAGATGGGTCACTGTCATCCCTGTCAGACTTTGGAAGTGCACTTCTTCTGCACCACTAGTTTGTGAACACATCTTGACCCCATCGTCCAAACTGAGATTCTCACCTTTCATCTTCATATTGTTCCGTGGTATTTCCACATGCCAAGTGTAACCGGGCAATCTTGGCACTGCCCAAGTGCAGCATCTAATCCTATTTTGTCTTGCAAGAACTAGAACTTCTTGTTCAACAGACCCTTTCTTCAGTGTACAAGAGTCACAGAGCTTTGCGCAAGCTCTTGAACGTGGCCAAAACAATGAACTACACACTCCACCGCCTCCTCCTGTCATCCGTCTCCCTCGCCCTTATTGCTTTCCATGTCGCCGCCTCCCTCTCTACTTATCCTACGATTCCAGGTGCCGACACCGGCGAGTGCTCGGTCCCTGTTAGCGAAAATCTAGTTCCAGTACGCCGAGAAGTGTATGATAATGACAGGATCATCGACATCACACACAGGATCACGTCGGACTTGCCGTCCTATGAATCGATGGGGAGCTTGGGGCAGTTCCTTTGGCTTGCTTTCAGCTTGAAGAATGGTTCGCTCACCAACAACTCCGAGATGAAGCTTCCTGCTCACACGGGCACGCACGTGGATGCTCCCGGGCATGTGTATGATCATTACTATGAAGCCGGGTTCGATGTGGACACGCTAGACTTGGAAGTCCTTAATGGTAAGTTTTTCGAATCCTACTTTGGTTGATTTTGCTTACTGTGATTGTTTCCTGACCACGAGCCATGAACGGGGAAGATGGGCTATAACTTTGTGTACGAGTTGTTCCTGTGTCCATCTCTGAAACTGATGACTTCTCAAAAATTAAATAGACTCGACTAGCCCTATATAAACTTCTGTCAGCAACTGCTCAAGCAACGGCTGCGATCGAGTACTTCTTTGGGCTAATTAGGGCCCGTTTGGTAACGTGCCAAATAGTGAAAATTTCTGTTCTTTTGTTCCCAGAAATAGTTTGGGAACAGAAATGCGTTTGGTAAACTTTTTGTTCCTTGGCACATTTTTGCAAAAATTTGTGCCGAGAAACGGTTTTGGAAGAGAAACAATAAGTAAAAAAGTTCTTGTTTTAGACAATTTTGAGAATCAGTTTTTTTCTTCTTTTTCTTTTTTTCTTTTCTTATTTTGTGGTGTTGTTCTTGGCTGAGCCGGCCGCCGGTCTGCGGCAGTGCAGCCTGCCCGGGGCCGGCGAGGGCGTCACGGCCCTCGCCGGCCGCCGCGGAGGCGAGGTCGCCCTCGCCGGCGAGGGCGAGGGTGGACCCTCGCCGCCCGGGCGAGGCGGCCTCGCCCGGATCGAGCGAGGCCAAGCCTCGCCGTCGGTCGACGGGTCGGCCTCTCCGAGGCGAGGCTCGGCCTCGCGCGAGGCGAGGTCGGCCTCTCCCGTGGTCGCGACGGCGAGGCTCGGCCTCGCCCGGATCTGGCGAGGCCGAGCCTCGCTCGTCTTTCGGGCGAGGCCGCTCGCCTGTGCGGCGAGGGTCAGCCCCGCCCTCGCTCGCCGGCGGCTCGGGCGAGGTCCGTGACGCCCGCGGCCGGGCCTGGCCGGTCGGCGATCGCCATGGCCAAAGAAGAAAGTAAAAAGAAAAAAAAAATTTAAACAATTCAAAATATTATTAAAATATTATTTGGGAACAGAAATTTTGTGTAGTTACCAAACGCATTTCTGTTCTTTTCTACTCTAGGAATAGAAATTTTGGACATTTATCAAACGCCTTCAAATACTCAAAAATTGTTTCCGGGCACAGAATAAAAAAAAATCATTTCTGTTCAGAAATAGCGCCCGGGCACAGAATGGTATTCATGCGCACCCTTAGTACACTTTCATCCCTAAACAGTGAAGTCTTCACGGTCAATCGTAACCGTTTGATCGTGCACTCATGCGCTTCATACGAAACTCTGGGAAAACGATACCTTTGGATGCACGAGTGCTCCTCAAAAGTTCCTTTTTTTTTCAGTGAAGGACCTTAAGGGCCCGTTTGGTAACGTGCCAAATAGTGAAAATTTCTGTTCTTTTGTTCCCAGAAATAGTTTGGGAACAGAAATGCGTTTGGTAAACTTTTTGTTCCTCGGCACATTTTTTGCAAAATTTGTGCCGAGAAGCGATTTGGAAGAGAAACAAGAAGTAAAAAAAGTTGCTTCTTGTTTCTAAGCACAATTTTGAGAATCAGTTTTTTTTCTTCTTTTTCTTTTTTTCTTTTCTTATTTTGTGGTGTTGTTCTTGGCGAGCCGGGCCGGCGACCGGCCAGCCTGGCGCGGGTCACACGGCCCCGCCGCGAGGCCACGGCCCTCGCCGCGAGGGCGGACCTCGCCGCGAGGCGGCCTCGCCGGATCGGCACGGCCTCGCCGCCGCCGCGACGGAGAGGTCGCCTCGCCCGGAGGCGAGGCCGACCTCCGTCGCGACCCACGGCGTCGGCCGCGTGTCGCGGGCGAGGCGGCCTCGCCCAGGATCGAGCGAGGCCGAGCCTCGCCTCGCGACCCGCCGCCGACTCGCTGGGTGCGAGGCTCGGCCTCGCTAGATCCGGGCGAGGCCGAGCCTCGCGTCTCCGGGCGAGGCCGCCTCGCCCGGTGCGGCGAGGGTCCAGCCTCGCCCTCGCCGCGAGGCGACCCTCGCCTCCGCCCGGCGGCCGGCGAGGTCCGTGACGCCCTGCGCCGGCCATGGCCAAAGAAGAAAGTAAAAAAAAAAAAAATTTAAACAATTCAAAATATTATTAAAATATTATTTGGGAACAGAAATTTTGTGTAGTTACCAAACGCATTTCTGTTCTTTTCTACTCTAGGAATAGAAATTTTGGACATTTATCAAACGCTTTTAAATACTCAGAAATTATTTCCGAGCACAGAATCAAAAAAAATCATTTCTGTTCAGAAATAGCGCCCGGGCACAGAATGGTATTCATGCGCACCCTAAAGGTCATGACCCATGATACGTTTTTGTGTTTTTCTGTTGGGCCAACGAACGGAATGTGGTCAAATTGTCAAAGCCCAAAAGAAGAAGCAGGGAAGACAACACGATTGGCGAGAGTGTCGAGATTACATGTCTTCCTTCTAAAACGATGTCCTCATCAACATCGCGCCCACCCCCTCCCTTCAAACGCTATATACTAGTTGGAAGCGAAAAAGCTCTCTCTTTTACCTTTCGATTTTTCTTGGCCTAATCACGCACTTCCCTCTCGACACCGCGAGTCACCATGAACGCTCTCTCCCCGCTTCTCTTCGCTCACCTCCTCATCGCCGCGGCAGCCGTCGCCGCCGCCGCGGCCATCGACGCCTACCCGACCATCCCCAGCGTTGGCGACTGCTCGGTGTCCGACGGTGGCGAGGAGCTCAGGCCCGTTCGCCGAGAAGTTTATGATGGCGGGAGGATCTTCGATATCAGCCATAGGATCACTAGTGATATGCCGTCGTGGAAATCCGATGATGGGTTGGGTCAGTTTGTGCGGCTCGCGGGGAGCATGAAGAATGGGTCTTTAGCGAATAACTCGGACATGAAGCTGCCCGCTCACACGGGGACACACGTGGATGCTCCGGGTCACGTCTTTGATCATTACTTCGATGCCGGTTTTGATGTGGACACGCTTGATTTGGCAGTCCTCAACGGTAAATTTGTGGGCTTTTCGTGTTGGTTTCTGATGGTGGGTTTGATTTCTTCTTTTGGGTATCAGTATCAGTAGGTTTTGGGAGGAGTTGTTATTTTTAGCTTCTGTAGTTGATGATTGTGTGGTTCTGCTGACTATGGCTTTGAGCATCTTCAAAATTGTTCTTTGTCGAGTAATAATCTGCACTGACCTTTGTCCTGTGAACTTCAAAAGCCTCGCGAGTCTCACTTGTCAATCAATGTTTGTTAACTTCAAATGGTTGGTTTCTGTGGCCAGGGATTTAGATGGTTAATTGAAAGGGCAAGTCTTGTTAATTAGAGTAGACCAGTTCTTATACAGTGCAGGAGTATGTAGGGAGATATTGAAGTTAATTCAAGTTGATTTAAGGGTCTCTCCGTTCTTATTTTTCTTATCCTCATCTTCATTGAGGTAGTGCTATTCTATACTCTCTGTCTTGTAAAATTTTGGTGACTATTGGTTTCTCCTTCTTTAGGTCCGGCATTGTTGGTTGACGTTCCGAGGGATAAGAATCTCACAGGTATATCCCTCAGTTGAGTTTCTTGCAGCATGCTGATCACTTATGTGTTATGCATGCTAAGTTGTCAAAAAACATAGTCTTAACATGCTTCTTCCACGAAGTTTCTCCATTCATGCGTTAGTGCAAACAGCATATTGGGGGATCAGTTCAATTTGTTTAGTTACTTGTGCTGTGCTTGCTGGTTTTATTTTATTTTGTGAAAAATGTAGAAGGGAAATATCATCCCCTTGGATTTACTCTAATGGTTCTTTCTATCCTCCCATGCAGCTTGATGTAAATGACCGTATCTTTATGTGTGCAATTTTGGTTTTATGGATAGAATGACTGTTCTTCAAATAATTGAAGGGCCACTACTAATGATTTTGTTGGAAAATTTTTGATTCGGTTATGAAATATTTGGAATAGTATGATCACATCAGCATACAACTTACTGTGCTAACTGCTTTAATAGTGTTTGGCATTTGATACATGGGTAGCGGATTTTGCCTTAATTCGTGCTAAATCTGAGCTAGACAACAATTAAGTGAAACTGTGTTGGCTCTTAACAATAAGCAACGATTTTTGTTTCATTTGTCATCAATTGGGCTGTTGACAGTTTTACACGGTTGTAGCATTCAGCTGCGTTTGATACGATAGCTTTTGAGATTAAAACATAGTGATATGCCCATGCCCAACCAGTTCTGTAATAATGACATAAGCTACTTCCTGCAGCTGAAATAATGGAGTCTCTACATATTCCCAAGGGTGTGAGACGGGTGTTGTTTAGAACCCTAAATACTGACAGGTAAACTTCTGTTCCTAAGCATCTTTCTTTGGGTCATGGTCAGCTGAACTAAAGTGGTGTTTCCATGTTGCTGTAAATTGTGTTGCCCATGCATGTGCTATTAGAGCACTGGCTGGGTATCTTAATGTACTGTGGTATTAGTCAGTGCTATGATCAGAAGGACAAGTTTGATCCGCGCTCTCTTTCATTCTCAGACGGCTTATGTACAAAAAAGAGTTTGACACAAGCTATGTGGGATTCATGAAAGATGGAGCAAAATGGTTGGTAGAGAACACAGATATTAAACTTGTTGGTAGGATTTGTCCCTCTTTGCTATTCTGATACAATTTTAGTGAGAGTTCTTTTTCACGGTTGTTTGCTTGATTATCATCTTATCTTCACCTTTTTACGAAGACTCACTGCTTTATAGTGTACTTCATGCTGTTTTCTAATCATTACCCAGAAACCATGTTAGGATCTATTTCTCTGTTGGGGAGCTACCTTTTCTGTTACTTCCAATTTTCACTTGCAGCTTCACTGCAAGCAAATGTTATTTCTCTTAGGCATGACAAAAAATGCATATTCTTTCATCTTGTTTGATTTTCTTCTTGACGACACAAGTCGCAATATGGTGCTGTGATAACTGTCGACATGAACACGTGATATTTGGTTGATTTTTAAAGACATGCATGTGTATGAAAATGCTGAAGCATGTGTTGCTATCGGGCTTTTGAGCACTACTGCAAGTCCTTTTATTTCCTGAACCTCTCTTGAAAAATTGTGTGACTTGATTATCTATTTTGTTTCCTGTTCTCCAACTTGTAGATTATTAAATGTCTTAGATTGAGATGCACTCTTGCGTGACGCATTCTGTGCTATAAAATGCAGGAATTGATTACCTGTCTGTTGCTGCATTTGATGATTTGATCCCATCCCATCTTGTCTTCCTTGAAAGCCGGGTAGGAAAATGATTTAACCCATGTGAAATTTTTGGATCAAAGTTGAGAAAGACCATGTTTCACCCTGAATCAGACCTAAACTAGTGTTGGTAATTTTGCCCAGATTTCACGCCGTTGCATTCTCATATGAAGCTCTCGGCTCAAGAAACTAACACTACGGTAATGCTGCAGGAAATTATTCTTGTTGAGGGCTTGAAACTCGAGGATGTCCCCGCAGGAGTATATACTGTCCATTGTCTGCCTTTGAGATTGCTTGGTGCAGAAGGATCACCTATAAGATGCATCCTCATCAAATAACTGCTCTGAGTGAGTTTTGTTCTTTTTGAAGGGAATAACAATTGCTTTATCTACGATTATCATCGTCAGACGTGATTGATTTGTCCCTGCTTGTTTACTGTAGAGCTGTCAGTTGAATATTCCTTGTTGTTTTCGTGACTTTGCATGCGATAATGCCAAGTGCTAACGGGATTTCTTCTTGCTGTTCCAGGAGAGTGGAAGTTATCCGAAGCGCCAGGTGAGAAAAGGCATTGCATGCACGTTCGCCTCAGAATTCAGATGTTCTTTGGCGGGACAGATTTGCAGAGAATGCAGAATTTTAGTGGTCATGTGAATATGTTTAACTATTACTATAGGAAAACAGAAGCTATGGTTATGTCTACATGAATAATGTTAGTCTTCCAAAATAAGACTCGTCTGGATTGTTTCCATGTTTCTTCATTTCGGTTACGAAAGAGCTGCTGGCTATTTGAGTTCATTTGAACATATTTTTGACCAGGCCCCTGCAAATTTTCTCTTCCACGGTGTCGTAACGATCGTGCTAGTTACCAATAGCTTCTGCTTGAGAATGTAGGATATGACATACAACATGAATGGAGAGATCGACGCCGAAATGCATGAATCGATTCCCAACTGATTGAACCGTGATTGGATGTGAATATCACTATACGTCTTGCTTTGCTTGAATGACTTCACTGCCAAATCGACATTCGTTGAAGGCGGCCTGAGGAGGCGGCGGCCGAGAAGAGTCGGCGATGGCAGTAGACCGATGTATAATCTGGTCTCAAGTTTTGTAATAGCCTTAGTTTAGTATAGTCTGAATTAGGTTAGTATAGACTAATCAATATAGGCTTTGCTAATAAAACCTCACACTCTCAATGGATGATTGGGGTAGTTTAGCTTAGGCTTTACTTTAATCAACTCGTTAGATTTAGAATCGCCTTAGGTTCCGTTTAGCAAGCTTCCGAGTTGGTCAGGCCATGTGAATGTTCATTGCCCGACGAATATTCAAAACAGGTCTAATTCCTAGTGACTCGCTGACTGACTCGAACACTCCGGCATGACATACGCAACATCAGATCTGTGGATAGAAAGAATAAAATTTTCTCGAGAAACCTCGAGTGATTGAACTTTGAAGTATGATTTTGAATTCAACGATCCGATCTAATCGAACCCCCCTCGTCGCATCGACCCCTTCAAACACTATCGACACCGCGAGTCACCATGAACGCTCTCTCCCCACTTCTCTTCGCTCACCTCCTCCTCGTCGCCGTCGCCGCAGCCATCGACACCTACCCGACCATCGCCAGCGTCGGCGACTGCTCGGTGTCCGACGGTGGCGAGGAGCTCAGGCCCGTTCGTCGAGAAGTTTATGATGGCGGGAGGATCTTCGATATCAGCCATAGGATCACCAGTGACATGCCGTCGTGGGAATCGGACGATGGGTTGGGTCAGTTTGTGCGGCTCGCGGGGAGCATGAAGAATGGGTCTTTAGCGAATAACTCGGACATGAAGCTGCCCGCTCACACGGGGACTCACGTGGATGCTCCGGGTCACGTCTTTGATCACTACTTCGATGCCGGTTTTCATGTGGACACGCTTGATTTGGCTGTCCTCAACGGTAAATTTGTGGGCTTTTTTCCTTTTTGTGTTGGATTCTGATGGTGGGTTCGATTTCTTCTTTTGGGTATCAGTATCAGTAGGTTTTTGGAGGAGTTGTTATATTTTGTTTCTGAAAACTGTAGTTGATGATCGTGTGGTTCTGCTGACTGTAGCTTTAATCATCTTCAAAATTGTTCTTTATCTAGTAATAATTTGCACTGACCTTTGTCCTGTGAACTTCAAAAGCCTCACGAGTCTCACTTGTCAATCAGTGTTTGTTAACTTCAAATGGTTAGTTTCTGTGGCCAGGGATTTAGATGGTTAACTGAAAAGGCAAGTCTTGTTAATTAGAGTAGACCAGTTCTTATACAGTGCAGGAGTATGTAGAGACATATTGAAGTTAATTCAAGTTGATCTAAGGGTCTTTCCGTTCTTATTTTTCTTATCCTGAGCTTTTCCATTAGTTTGGTTCCTTTTTTGCTGTTCATTTGTGTTAAATCCTCATCTTCATTGAGGTAGTGCCATGCTATGGTTTCTGTTTTGTAAAATTTTGGTGTTTGTATCTCCTTCTGTAGGTCCAGCTTTATTGGTTGATGTTCCGAGGGATAAGAATCTCACAGGTATGTCCCTCAGTTGAGTTTCTTGCGGTATGCCGATTGCTTATCTGTTATGCATGCTAAGTTGTCAAAAAACATGGTCTTGACATGCTTCTTCCACGAAGTTTCACTGTTCATGTGTTGGTGCAAACAGCATATTTGGAGGACCAGTTCAATTTGTTGGGTTACTGGTGCTGTGCTTGTTGGTTTTATTTTATTTTGTAAAAATGTAAAAGACAAATATCATTCCCACGGATTTACTCTAATAATTCTTTCTATCCTTCCATGCAGTTTGACGTAAGTGACCATATCTTTATACGTGGGTTTCGCTGTCGTGGATAGAAATAACCGTTCTTCAAATCATTGAAGGGCCACTCCAAATGATTGTTGGAAAAACTTTTCAATTTAAATTTAGTTATGAAATATTTGGAATAGGATGATCACATCAATATACATCTTATTATGCTAGCTGCTTAACTAGTGCTTGGCATTGCATACTTAGGAGAGCATTTTGCGTAAAATCTGAGCTAGGTAACAGTGAAGTGAATGTTGGCTTTAACAATGATCGATGGTTTTTGCGTGATTTGTCGTCAATTGGGCTGTCGATAGTTTTACATGGTCGCAGTGTTCAGCACGCATTTACTACAACATTGTGATATTGTCCAACCAATCCTGTAAGAATGACATAGACTACTTCCTGCAGCTGAAGTAATGGAGTCTCTACATATTCCCAAGGGTGTGAGACGGGTGTTGTTCAGAACCCTAAATACTGACAGGTAAACTTCTATTCCTAGACATCTTTTCTTGGGTCACGGTCAGCTGAACTAATGTTGTTTTTTCACATATTGTTGTGAATTATGTCACCCGTGTGTGTGCTATTGGAGCACTGATCTCGGTATCTTAATATACTGTGGTATTAGTGAGTGCTATGATTGGAAGGACAACTTTGATGTGTGCTCTATTTCGTTCTCAGACGACTTATGTACAAAAAGGAGTTCGACACAAGCTATGTGGGATTCATGAGAGATGGAGCAAAATGGTTGGTAGAGAACACAGACATTAAACTTGTCGGTAAGATTCGTCCCTCTTTACTATTCTGATGGATTTCTAGTGAGCAAGTTTTTTTTTTAATATTTGTATGGTGGTTTGCTATTTTATCATCTTATCGTCACTTTTTTACCAAGACTCACTGCTTTATAGTATACTTCATGATGTTTCTCTATTGTCATCCAGAAACCGTGTTAGGATCTATTCTCTGTTGGGCAGCTACCTTTTCAATTACCACCAATTTTTACTTTCGGCTTCACTACAAGCAAATGTTATTTCTCTTAGGCACAACAAGAAATGCATATTCGTTCTTCTTTTTCTGTTTTCTTCCTGACAACACAAGAATCGCACTATGGTGCTATAATAACTGTCCACATGAACACATGATATTCGGTTGATCTTTAAAGACATGCATATGTAAGAAAATGCTCAAGCATAAATATCTGTCAGGCTTTCGAGCACTAGTGCAGGTTCTTTTTTTACCTGAATCTACCTCTTGAGAAATAGTGCAACTTGATCATCTATATTCTTTCTTGTTCCACAACTTGTAGATTATTACATGTCTGAGATTGAGATGCACTCTTGCATGACCCAATATGTGGTAAAAAATGCAGGAACTGATTACCTGTCTGTTGCTGCATATGATGATGCGATTCCATCCCATCTTGTGTTCCTTGAAAGCCGGGTAAGTAAATGATCTGACATGTGTGAAATTTTCCCATCGAAGTAAAGAAGGACCATGCTTCATCTCTGAATTTGTGTCTCAGACCTAAACTAGTGTTGTAATTTTGCCTAGATTTCATGCTGTTGCATTCTCATATGAAGCTCTCGGCTCAAGAAACTGACATTACGATAATGCTGCAGGAAATTATTCTTGTTGAGGGCTTGAAACTCGAAGATGTCCCCGCAGGAGTATATACTGTCCATTGTCTGCCTTTGAGATTGCTTGGTGCAGAAGGATCACCTATAAGATGCATCCTCATCAAATAACTTCTCTGAGTGAGATTTGTTCTTTTTGAAGGGAATAACAATTGCTTTATCTCTGAGTGAGTTTTGTTCTTTTTGAAGGGAATAACAATTGCTTTGTTATTGCTTTATCTACGACTATCATCGTCAGACGAGTTCGATTTGTCCCTGCTTGTTTACTGTAGAGCTGTCAGTTGAAAATTCTTTGTTGTTTTCGTGACTTTGCATGTGATAATGCCAAGTGCTAATAGGATTTCTTTTTGCTGTTCCAGGAGAGTGGAAGTAATCGAAAGCGCCAGGTGAGAAAAGGCATTGCATGCACGTTCTCCTCGGGATTCAGATGTTCTTTGGCTGGACAGATTTGCAGAGAATGCGGAACTTTAGCGGTCATGTGAATATGTTTAAGTATTACTATAGGAAAACAGAAGCTATGGTTATGTTTACATGAATAATGTTACGCTTCCAAAATAAGACTCGTCTGGATTGTTTCCCACGTTTCTTCATTTCGGTTACGAAAGAGCTGCTGGCTATTTGCGTTCATTTGAACATATTTTTGACAAGGCCCCTGCAAATTTTCTCTTCCACGGTGTTGTAACGATCGTGCTAGTTACCGATACCTTCTGCTTGAAAATGTTAAGATATGATATACATGAATTGAGAGATCGACGCCCGAAACTGTGGTAGTCAATGCAGATGAATGCATAATAGATTTTTTATTTATATGTGATCAAAAGAGTAGCAGTTAGGACATGATCATATACAAGACGCACAAATCAACTGGGCTCATACACCCACCGTGGAAGACATCCATTTGCAATACAATTGGTTTTTCCTCTTTTACTAGTAAGATTTTTAGGTTGATATAGATTTTACTCGAATTAAAAAAAATGTAACTGGTACAAAACACGACGGTCTAGTAATTTGCTGTCCAAACACTTCTTGACAAGCAACAATCAAAATAGAAAACATAAAGAAAAGTTTCCAGGTCAAAAGAAGAAAACTAACAATGTAATTACAAAATCTATATACAACAGTAGCTTCTTGCGGAACCTTTAACATTTCTTCTAGCAGAAGCTCTCCCTCAGTAAGGTGGAGGAGGATAATGCCCTGGATAAGCACCTGAGCAATGAACAACATAGAATTAGCATTATAATAAGGTATAGTTCATGCCCAATTATTGACACTCTCAGCAATGAACAACATAGAATCAGCCTAACAATGAGGTCATTCATGCACAGCGGTAAAAACTCAGCACATACCTGGAGGGCCGGGAGGCGGTGGATATGGAGGCGGAGGATAAGCCGAAGGTGGAGGGTACGCTGGAGGAGGATAGGCTGATGGCGGATGGGGAAAATACGGTGGTGGTGGGTATGCCGCTGGATTGGGTGGATACGATGGGTATGCCGCTGGATTGGGTGCATACGATGGGTATGCAGGAGTGGTAGCAGGATACGCTGTGGCGGTTGCACCGTAAGGAGCAGATGGGGGAGGAGGTGCAGAGTACAAAGACACCTGAGGAGCCGAACCTACATATGGCGGTGCAGATGGTGCACAGCTTGTTCCCGGTTTCTACAACAGCAGAAGCACACTATTGTTCAGAATCCACCACAGCATGATCATGGTAAATTGTAATGGTTGATGTCTTCTACTGAAATGAAATTGGTACTTACTATTGCATTTGCGTAATGTAATATCACGCGTGCTTCTCCAGCATATCTTGAAACAGAGAAAATACGGGCACTTTAGTTTGGACAATAAAAACCTTCTTAATAGAGGGTAGTCACGCAAATGCCGAGTGACAGTTGTCCTACTACAGAATTTGATGCCATGGAGATAGACCTGGGATATCTGTTTGGTAGATATTTTATACACGTATAAAGAAATAGTGAAGGAGAGGAGCATCTGCTAGAAAATCCATGTACATCACAACATGTATGGGAGAGAGAATGAGATAGAAGAAACTAGCAACTTGTCATTGGACTATCTTCATTTTTTTCGTTCCGCACCCCTCTTTTATGTATATCCAGGGGAGGAAGCTAATCAGATCAGCTTTTTTTTTTTAAATAGTGGGCGGTGTCATACCATATAAAACGTCTTCTGGCTAAGTGGGAGGCTAAAGTGAGGCTAAGTGGTTGGCTGCCTGTATCATTCTATGGAACAAAATATGGGAGCAGTACTACTAAAAACTCTCATTATATTGCCAGGAATTGAGTGAATTAGAGAAATCACACCGCTATTCTTACACAAAGGCCATCTTGTGCACTCCATCTTCTAACTTTTTTTTTCTTTTTGCTTTTGAACCTGATAAATAATCCTACATGCATAAGATAAGAGGAATAGATTCAACGGATTGTACCTTCCCGTTTTAGTCTGAAGAGGCCAGGCCGTATCATCGAAGCCCTGAGAAAGAACCTTATGGAGCTGAACCCTTGAGACAATGACAAGCACAACTAAGATAAGAACACTAGCCACTCAAGGACCCAAAAAATGGAAACATCTCGACAACAGTTTTGCGAGCAAAATGGATTCAAGGTAGGAAGTAATTACTTTCCACTGCCGATGAAGTCGTCGAAAGTGAGGGTATTGCTGTTCCACACCGCAAGATTCAACTCCCTAAGCCCTTCAATGAGCGTGAACACAAACTTCTCTTGAAATGTGGGGTTTTTACCACCGTCTGCACACCAAATCAAACCAAATTCAAAGATGCCCCTTTGCTCAGATTTTGCCAACTAGCTCAACACCAGAAACCTCACCCATCAAAACCCACATAAGAAAATGCCACGTCCAGATCTGAACGGGGAAAAGAGGTAATTGCACAAACAATTGGGCGCGCGCAATTCAGGAATTACCGGTGCAAGTACGGGTGCGAAACTTGGAGCTGCCATATTCCAGACAGACGTAGGGATCCTGTCTCGAAATCCACTCGGTGTCCTTCAACTTATTACACCCGACAACTGAATCGCAAAGCGAGAAAATCCGAGAAAATTAATCAAAGAAAGAAGAGAGGAACCCAGACAAAGCAAAGGGGCAACGGAACAATAACAAGACGGTGGCAGAAGGAACCAAAAAAGATCGACAACTATCCGCGGAGGTCAACGGGTGGGTTGACCTTGATGGGTACACACCTGTGACCTCAAGAAGCTGGCCTTGAATCGACATCATAGGATTCCAAGACTCGGTGGAGAGATGGTATTGCTGCATTGACTTTGCCTCTCGAAAGGCGTCTCCCCTTTTAAATACCCAGAGGATACCGGAAGTTCCAAGAATCTCCCTTCTTTTACTTTTCTTTGTTTCCGAATTTCAAATCCGCGGTTGCTTTGCAGAGTCGGTGACGGAACGAGATGAGAAGGAGGAGAACGGTAGGAAACGTGTGCCTCGTGTTCTTTCTGGGCCTGTTCCTCGTTTCTTGTTAACGAGTGGAAAAATAAAGTTTGCAAGGCTCATGAATTTTTAATTTATTTAATGTGGATCCTGGACTTTAGCGTAATGTGCAATATAATCCCTGAACTTTTAATTTATTTAATGTGATCCTTAAACTCTTGGTACTTGTTCAACTTAGTACCTAGAATAGATGATGATATTTAATGTTATCTTTTAGTAATTCAAGTTCAGGACAATATCGAACATTTTCATGGTACAGTTCACGGACCACGTTGAATAAATTGAAAGTTCACAGACTACATTACATATTGGGCTAAAGTTCGGAGACCATATTGAATAAATAAAAAGTTCATGGACCACATTGCATATTGATCAAAGTGCAAGAACTATTTATGTTATTTTCTTTTAACAGGTCGCTTTGCCTTAATGCAAGCTTCGTCCAGTGGCGTGCGTTTTCGCATGCTTTCGGCCCGAGGATGTGTAAATGATTTTTAACCCATTGCCGAAATGACTTTAGCCGAGTTTGACTCGACCTAACCCAAAAAAGGACTGGGTGTACTTTTGATCTAGCCAACGCAATTTTGTGCAGGTGCTCACGTAATGTAGACAAGCGAAGCTTTGATCAAGACGACGACAGTGACACGATGATACGCCGTAATATTCTGCAAACGCAGGGTCGAAATCACTTGCGCGCATCTATAGCTTTACACGCCAATGCCGACGGGCTCGTCAATTTTGAACTTGTGAATCGCTGGCCGTTGGAGCAAGCACTCAAGGAAAATTCGTTGATAAGTTTTCTAGATCAGGGCTTGGCCCACGATGGACGGTGTGGACGAACGATTAGTAATCCGAGGAGGCAAGGCTCGCGTGGACGGAGACGATAGAAATGGTCGAAATCTCCCCGGTCTTGAGTTGACCTCCTACGAGAGGTCCAGTTGCTGAGGTAGAAGAGAACTTAGATCCTCCGGTCCGGCCCACTGTGGAGTTGTGATTGGGCCATTCATCTCCGACTCTGCTGAGGTTTCGTGCTGTGCTCGTAGAAGTTTCGGCACATACCAGGCCCGAAAAGTATGAAATCTACTCTTCGGACACCCACGTTATCGCAATTACGTAGAACTCTCAGAGAAATTGGTTGTGTACGTATGCATTAGGCCGATCAAACGAGTGGGTTGAGTCGAAAATGATCCGGCTTAAATTGACCCATTTAACTAGTTTTGACCCGTTTCAATGCAATATCCCACCCGACCCATATTGTTAAAACTCTTTTTATATTTAACCAAATCTAGGAAACACGTATCCAAACTGAGGTGAAGGTGCAGAGCGAGCGAGCGTGAGATCGAGCAAGGGCGAGAAAGAATGAAAATAGAATTAAGTAAATCGTGAACCCATTTAACATCCATATTATTTTGAATTTTACTATTTTTAAATTCATTTATGACCCATTTACCGAATATAACTAATGCATACAACTACTTGGCACATCAAATATGGGTTTAAAAATGAGTTCATGATCCATTTTGACAGGTTTAATATGCATATGACTCTTGTCAAACGTCGACCCTGGCAAGTTTAGTGTCTACTGTTTAGGTTTGGCCAAAAAAAAAATTGCAACTTTTAAGCAAAGTTCAAGTATTTCATGACTAAATTGCAGAATTTATAAATATAAAAGTAAAGACAAGATGCTGCTGCAATTTATGAAAGATACAGCTACACGGGGACCATAGGAACACGAGGGTACATCAATATGGCAGGGTACGAACTACAAATGAGCTTCACGCTCGGCTCGAGCTATGTTGTGTCATCAATGGCAAGATGTCGGCTGGGCTTAATTGCCATGTTCATTCGAGTCACTGTCTTTCGCCCGTGATTGCGAAGGACGAATAGATGCCAGCATCCGGTGCAAGCAGGTAGAGATAAAACCCTCGAATGTCTGGTGTTATTAATACATAAGTAAATGCGCCGGGCGAAGCATTCATTTTTTTTCTTTAATGCTCTTTCGGGGCAAACTTATACGGATGTTTCGATTATCCAAGTATTGATTATAAGTACACACGCGAAAATAAGTGCCCGACAAGGTGTTGGCCGCCGGCCGGGCGACAATAATTTAAACCTTTCCCTTCGTGATCTTTGGTACAAGTCATTTTAAGAGCACTTTAAGAGTAAAATCTGCACCGGACTAATGTAGGAGAGTGTACCCCTAAAATAGCCCGAGGGTTGGGACTAGTCAAGCCTCGCAAAAGCTGGTCCAGACTTTACCTCATCATTATACTTGCTTGATTACTTAACAAAAAACTTACTGAAGTTCACAATGCGTTATCATGATGGATACAATCATAGAAGGAAGGTTGAAGATGGGGACCTGTTTCCTGTTTGTCTCCTCCCAAAAAGCTAAAGATTTTGCATAAGTTTAGTGGAAAAAATAAACGTGTGCAATGTCATGTCACCATCAAGCTTCTGGTGCAGTACGGTAGGAATTGGAGTCATGCATCGTATACAAGATCACCACCCACACGAAATCCGGATGAACTCGCAACCCAAACCAATTCCCCAACTCCCAAAAACTTAAAAGAGGACTAGGACCCAAACGCCTGTCCATCACCCAGAAACGACACCCACCTCTCTCCCATCTGGCGACACTGCATCTGTCGTTTCAGACACCCTTCCTACGACACGCAGCAGCAGCACCATCACGGAATCGAAAATCATGAGTGCGTCACCGACACAAAACTCTCTCTCTTCGCTCTTGCCCTCGCTCGCTCACTCTCCCTCCCGTTTCCCCCTAGCGACGTCCGCTTTTGGTCGCGTGCGCCACGTGATCTTCCTCTCACGCCAGCAGGTAAAAGGAAGCAAAGAGAAAAAGACGGGCATGGCATGGGCGAGGTGAAGCGGAATATCTGCAGGGGAAAACAGTAGGAAGCACTCACAAAATTACTTTTGAATCAACTTCTTTTGTATTTTCTTTAGAAAAGAGATGGGTCCTGTCTGCTTTCTTTTTCTTTTTGCTTTAATTCGATTTCAATCCTATCCAAGCCCACCGTGACCGCAATCACCGACACCTCCCTCGGTCATTTCTTGGACCAATGTCCGCGTCCTACTGTCCGAATTTCAACCCAGGACTTTTTCGCTACTGTTACTTTTCTCGTACACCCACGGAGAAAAATCTTGTCACCGATAGTCTTGCAATCTTCAGTAGCATCTGTGATGTTGGCAAAACAAACCCAGTTGAATCCTAGCCCAGAAACACAAACCCCAACGACAAAGATCGGGAATTGGGCTGAGCAGAAAAGAGAAAATGGAAGAAAGAAGCAGGATATCTTGTTCAGACAGTTCGATTGAGCAGTAATCCAGGCTTTTCTATATGTTATACTTAGTTACAATTTCCCAAGAACAATGCAAATGCAAGTGCAGATGCAGATGCCTCGTTCAGCGAGAACCCGGAATACATATCAACCGTCTTCCCCGTCGCCATCCGACGGCAGCAGTGACGGCGACGATGACGACGGCTTCGTCGCGTTCCGGCAGAACTCAAAGCTGTCCCTCTGCATCCTCTCCACCACGAAGTGCCCCAGCGAATCCACCGTCTCCACCAAGTTCTCTTCGCACAGATACTCCTCGCTGCAAATCCTCTCCACTTCCCTGTCGATATCATGCACGAACACGTGCGTCTTCCCGCCGCTGCCCTTCTTGCTCCTCCCAAGAACCGCCGCCGTGAATATCGCCGACATCCTCCCCGGGGCCTTCGGGAAGTATCCGCGCGGCCCGTCGATCAAGATCACGTCCCAGTCCACCTCGTATATGTAGTTCGGCAGATCGTTCAGGGCCAACTTGCACTCGGAGAAGAGCAGGTTCTGCACCGGCCTGCAGTCGGTCTTGATGTGGTCCCTCGCCGATTTGATCAAGCCCCACATTTGGCTGACCCGGGTCGTGAACTGGACATCGTAGGCTTCGATCCCCGGGTGCTGCTGCTCGAGCCGCGAGATCAAGAACTCGCTCTCGTCGAGGAACACCGTGTGGCCGTTGAAGTTGAGAACCTTAAACAGAAGGGTCTCGTGGGTGAGGCCGAAGACGAGGAAATTCGCGGAGGGGAAGCGGCGGAGGACGGCGCCGATGGAGTTGATCTCGGCCTGGGTCATGTGGGTGGCGTTGGTGGTGGTGGCGTAGTGGAGGAGGGCGTCGGTGACGGCAGCAGGGAGGGCCGCGGCGGCGGAGGAGGAGGAAGCGGCGGAGGCGGAGGCGGAGGGGGAGGAGGGGATGGCGGAGCTGAAGAGGGTGACAGTGAAGGCCAAGGTGAAGAAGGTGATGAAGAAGAGGAGCCACATGCGGTGAGAGGCTGGGGCGGTGCTTGCTTGCTTGTGGAGTGAAGGGTGGAAGACGATGAGCTTCGCGTTGGCGTTGCTCTTCATCCTGAGAGAGAGCGAGCGAGAGATTCAAAGATTGAGGACTACGTTGGGAAAGCGAGGTACGCGACAGATATATGAGTCTTGCGTCTTGTTCAGGCCTCCTCTGCTTTGTTCTCTTTCTCAGACAGGTTTCACCATCTCCCCGTGAAGCTTGCTTTTGCTTTCTGAGATTTATTAGGGGTGTTCGAATCTTTTTGAATGTTTGAAAAGGGCGAAGGGGAATTTAATGAAGGGGGGCTTGGCATGGACGTAGAGAAGGAGAAGAGACAGAGGAATCGCGCAGGATATCGAGCGAGGCCCCCCTGTGGATCCCGAGGAGAGAGATAGATAGAGAGAGAGAGAGAGATGGTCGTGGGTCCTTTAGGGGAAAAAAGTGAATGCCGGCCTATATGGTAAGAAATTTCAACCGAGGGTTCTTGATCTCGAGTTCGAATAATTGGACGACTCGTCCTTTTTACCAGATTGAGAAGATATGGCGACGAGAGAGAATGGCCATTGATGACTGACGATGGAAAAGGATATCATGCACAAGACCACCTTTGACAGTGAAATTCACTTTGGCCCCCCCTTTACAGTTCAGAAACATACAAAAGCAACAACAGCGAAGGGCCAAGTTGAATTTGCGATGCAGTTGCGGGACTGCTGAATCAGTACATGGAAAAAGACAGACGCCACATGGACTAGAGCGAATCAACGATCTTCTGGCTTGCCTTGGTAGGTCTGGGCAATTGCAATTATGGTATGAGTGGATTTTGGGGCTGAAGTGGAAACTGAGGTTGTTCTCGCGCTACAAAATGATAGTTTTCTACTATGTAAATGACACTCCGGCATTAGATTGGTGACCCTGATTCCCTATTAATAGGAAATTGGATTGGTTTAAGTTTTGTCAGGCAAGCGTTAATGTAACACTTGGGCTTTGCCCTTTTTCTTACCCAAAAAAAAAGGGAAGAAAGAAAAAAAGTGACCATGCTTTTTGCTAGATTATAAAGAAAAATGCAATGGGATTGTTGGGCTACAAACTAATAAAGCTCGCTTTGATAAAAAAAAATTAAACTAATAAAGCTCCCCATGCTAGTTCTTAAAGACTATATTTTGGGTTCGTAAACGGAGATTTCTAAAGAAAAATGCCGTTCATAAAAAAACACATGCTATATTTTTGGACGACGACTGTAACTCTAACATGGCGGGCACAACCAACAACTACATACAAATTTCATTGACGCTCACGTGACTTGGGCGAGATATGACATAATCTCCACGTGATTTACAATATTAACCCTGTTTATCACATTGGCATTAGACTAAAGCTGCAAACTTTTTTCCCTTGAAAGAGAATGTTTTGTTAATTGTTGGTTTGGGATTATGGACCCTATATATACCAGTCAGAAGCAAGTCACAGAGTATTAACTGGGGATTCAAATGCATGTGGAAAAAGGAGTCAACGAGTTAGTTAAGGGGCCATCATTCCATTTGGAGTCATGGGGTTGCGTTGCAAGTGGTGGCAATACATTGTGGACCGAACAGGTGAGTGTTGGTCATTGAAGTGATGATAAGCATGATCCCTTCCGCAATTAGCGAGTGATTGCCGTCCTGTTGCTGTCTCGTCTTTCAACAATCCCCAGCAAACCGAGGAACAGATTGAGGGTGAACTTGTAATGATAGGACCTCCAACCGGAAAATAGGGAACCGAAAGGGAGGGAGAGAGTCTTTATTTTGATCGTTTGTTGGCTCGGAAATCAAGAAAAGTACCCAACAGACGCTCAAACCAGCACAGAATAGTACAGTTTGATCCCCTATAGTTATGATGTTTTCGTGTTCCCTTCCATAACATTCAATAAGACAAGGTAGGTCGGCTAAGATTTTGCCTATCTCTAGCATCATGGAGATAGTGTTACCGCATACAACATGATTTGACAATTTCATAGAGTTATACTTTATATTGATCGTACCTTTGATATAAAGAAAAAGAAGAATCGGAATTAAGTGCAAGTGTTTTTCAATTTTGATCGATGAGGTGCCGTGCATTTATCACACAAATCGATTCTCATTAGAAAATTCAAAATGGTCATGATTGTCCGTATGTTATGCCTTCCTATCGAGAGGCAACTTTAATAAAAGCTGGTCCTCTAAACTAGCTACAAGTGACAACTCCGCCATCTGATATGTTAATTAAGGCCAACTTTTTTCAGGCCACTATCTCCTAAAGGGACAAGGAATCTACTTAATCATCCTAGAAAGTGGCTTATAATGCATGGCTGGTTGTTGTGGTAATGGAAGCACTCATTGTCCTTGCATCTTTCGTATCCTGCCTTTGTACCGAGACGTGATGTTCGCATAGAATGATGTCGAAATCATAAGGCAGACTTGGCTTTAGCCTTTTGATGCAGACGACTCACCAGACAGAGGCGACGAATTTTCATCTTTGGAAATTTCCACTTCTCTGAAAAACTGGAACCCGAGTGTATACATGGATCGTCGAATGACTCGGATAGCCGATAACTTCGACTATGCTCATGAGTTCACACGGTGCAAATGAGAAAAGCATGTTCGGCCTACCAGCATATTCTGCTCTAATCCAAGCGTTCTAAGGACTGCATCAATGATGGCCCAAGAATCAGAAACTACATCGCTGAGAATCCTATCTGAATTTCCGAAATTTCCTGCTGAATCATCTGCTAGACAAGTCCTCAAGGCCTAATGATCTGAGGGGTCATGGTAATTAGGCCCAAGCATTCATTGCCGTACTTCTTGGAGCCGAAACAATACCAGTATTGGGGTTCAGAGCTTTAAGGCCCAATGGAAAAGGATGAAAGGGGTGCTTTACGTTTCTTCCTGTCTGGTTCTCGTTTGATATTGAAGGTACTCAATCCATGAATATGGACATGTGTAAGTCAAGAATATGAATTGACTCAAGTCGATGACGAACCCAAATTGTGATCGGTTTGGGCCTAATATACCTTGAACCCCAACTATGGTTATAAGGAAACTTACCGCGAGGACAGAATGAATTACTACCTCTCTGTCTTTTTCTCTAAAACTGTTGCCAGCTGCCAAGTTGTATGCATCTCCCAAGATCAGTTGTGCAGCAGCCAAATACGTCATTAACATGTGACCACTGACGAGGTTGAGCTTGTCGTCTTCTTCCTGTCTTTTTACTCCTGCTTTTTTTCTCTGTTGTACTGTTTTTTTGTCTGTTAATGTGCACATACAATTCTATGGAATATGAAGTTGCCAAGATCTCTCCGCTACTAGTGTCTCAAGGACAGATAATTCAGAAAAGGGACAGGGCATCTTGCTGTTGAAATTGCGACTATGAGAAACTTTAATTTCTTGGGCACAAAGGAATTCAAAAGAAATGAAAATTAAATGATCACAGCTTTCCTAGAACAAATCCCATGACAAGAAACAGCAAATCCACCATTTTTCTCTACTTCAACACCACCGCAGATACTCTGAAATAGAGAACGGAAGATTTCTATTTCTTCAGCTTTATTCTCCGGAATCAAAACTTCAAGATTGATCGCTTCAGGTCATGAATCATATCTTCTTGTTACTAGCCAATCTCTGCAGTCTGAGCTCTTGAAGCAGAGCACCCAAATCAGACCAAGAAGATCCACCTTCTTCCACAGCCCCTCTTGCCATCTCTGCCAGTGCTTTTGCTCTCCTTCTCATTTCCTCTGCTTCCTCGCCTACCCGGACTCTCTTCACTGCCTCCTCCACTCTATCGCTCTTCACGCTGTCGCCAAACAACCTCACCCACTGCTTCACCCCGACGTCAAGCCCGATCTTAAGCACTTGGGTCACCAGCTTCTCGTTGTAGAATTGCTCTGCCGCGACCAGCCACGTCACCAATGGCACCCCTGCTGTGATTGCTTCCGGGGTCGAGTTCCAAAAAACCCCAAATCGGTACACTAGTAACAAATTTACCGCAAATTAATTTTTTGACAATAAAAAATCCTTAAACAGGTACTGATAAATTTACCAAAAACTAATTTTTTTACCACAAAAAACCAAAATTAGTATATTTATGAAAAATTTACTCTTTATTAGTTTCCGTTAAATTGAATTAATACAACAAAAAATCACAAACTGGTACACCAAGGACAAACGGAGGGTAAAACCCAAATTGGTATGCCCGTCAACTGCCACGTGTGACAGGTGTACCGATTTGAGGTTTTTGGTGGTAAAAAATTTAGATTGGAGTAAATTTGTCACAGATATACCGATTTGGAGTTTTTCGTGGTATTAACTCGTATGTTAATTAAGACAAACTTTTTTCAGGCCTCTATCTCTCGAAAGGACAGGGAATCCATATGCCTAATCCTAGGAAGTGGCTTGTAATGCTTGGTTGGGTATTGTGGCAATGGACACATCGTCCTGGCATCTTTCATATCCTGCTTTTACACCAAATAACGATGTTCACCTAGAATGATGTAGAAATCATAAGGCAGACTTAGCTTTTAGCATTTTGATGGGATGACTCAAACAGATAGAACCGATGAATTTTCATCTTTGGAACTTTAACAGAGTCCGAAGACAAAATTAACATCTTAGGAAAGTTGGACCCCAAGTGTACATGGATCGTCGAATGATTCGATTCGGATAGCTGATGATTTGACAATGCTCATGAGCTCACATGGCACAAATGAGAAAAGTACGTTTTGGGATACCCACAGAGCTCTAATCTCTAATCCAAGCATGCTAGGAACTGCATCAATGATGGCCACAAATTGAGAAAGGAAAGAAACAGCGAATCCAGCAATTTTTTCTACTTCTAAAACCACGACAGAGACTGTGAAATTGAGGATGGAAGATTTCTTTTTGTTATAGTTTTTTTGGCCGGCGCCGGCGACCGACCATAGGCCAGGGCCGGCGAGGGCGCCGTCGCCCTTGCTTCTGACCTCGCCGGTCGTGATGGTGAGGCCTCGCCATCGCGGCCACGAGCCGTCCTCGCCGCCGCGACGCCCTCACTGGCCCCTGGCCTATGGCCGGTGGCGGCGGCCAGCCGGAGGCAGGCGGGCGGCAAGCCGGGAAGAAGAAGAACAACAAACCAAGAAAAAATAAGAAAACCAAGAAGAATCAAAAATGGAAAAATTGTTCCAGAATCAAGAAACTACTTTTTTTTGCTTCTTGATTCTGTTCTAAAACTGATTCTGGGAATAATTTTTTGCAAAATTGTGCCCGGGCCCAAAAAATTTAATAAAAGGATTTTTGTTCCCAAACTGATTCTGAAAATAAAAAAACGTAAATTTTTAGTATTTGGCAAATTGCCAAACGGGCCCTAACGTACTTGTCGAGTTCTGCAATACCACGATAGATCCTAGTTCATTGAAAACCCTAGAAGTTAAAAATGGAGACGTCATGCATGACCAATTACACAAGATGGGGCCTCCCTTCAGAATTGGCTACGGGGCATCCAATTTGGAAATTCATTTCTTTCTGTGCAAGGAAAAGTGACTTTAGGATTAATATGCGGTCGCTGAAGCTTGAAAAAATATTCGCGTCTCCTTCCGACTGCAGCAGTAGGCTAATTCTCAGCAACAAAAACAATTCTCCTAATTAAGACTGTACGTGTTTTCATGTGCATTCGCGCAGACAGCGAGGACGCGACTTTTCTCGCCCGAATAGCATATTGTCTTTATTGAATGGGTATTGCATCAAACACCAAGGATGTTAGGCAACGATGCAGGAATTGAACATTACAGCAGTGACTCCTAAAATGAAAGCATGGCGCAACATGTTCTTGATCGATGCACGACGCAACAAAAGAAAGGAGAAAAGATTCGGGACTCTAACATAACCATACACTAGACTAGGCTTCATTTTGATTCGCGAGCGGCTTTGTGCTGCCTGAGTTCTTCGATTAGCGAAGTCAAATCTGAGTCGGATGATCCACCTTCTGCAACAGCCTTCCGGGCCATTTCACGAAGCGCTGTCGCCCTTCTTCTCATTACCTCTGCCTCTTCACCCGCCATAACTCGTCTCACCGCCTTGTCGATGTCATCTCTACGTACAAAATCTGCATTAACTCCGAACTCGGCGAACAGTTTAGATCCAACGCCAATCCCGATCCCCAGCACTTGAGTGACCAAATGTTCGTTATAGAATTGATCAGCAAACATCGGCCACGTGACCATTGGCACACCGGCACATACTCCTTCCAACGTCGAGTTCCATCCGCAGTGAGTCACAAATCCACCGACCGACTCGTGATCGAGAATCAACACTTGGGGCGCCCACCCTCTTATGATTAGGCCCTTCCCATCCATTCTTTCTTCAAAACCTTCTGGTAGCCAATCTTGTTCTTCATTTTTAACTTCCTTCACAATCCATAAGAAATCTTGTTGAGATGCCTCGAGCCCCTTCGCGATTTCCACCAGCTGTTGAGAACTGAATCTTGTCATGCTGCCGAAACACACGTAGATAACCGAGTTGGGCCTTTTCGAATCTAGCCATCTCAAGCATTCATGGCTGCTGATGGATGCTTCCTTACCCCTCACCACTTTATCTGCAGTATCGCTATTGCAGAGTGAGACCGGACCGATATGCCAGGCCTTCCTTCCCAAGACATTCCTGTAATAATCGGCATAATCCTTTTCGAGTTCAAAAAAGCTGTTGAAAATGCTTCCATAGCTCTTCAGCTCTGCTTCGGACGCTTCTCCTCTAATTAAAACATCCGTTTCAACTTGTCTTACATGATCCGCCAGCTGATTCCTTGTCAGCTTCATTTCTCCAGGGAGGTGAGGCACAAGGAAAGTTTCTGAATCAGATGAAACTCCCTTGTGTGGTTGATATAGGGCGATGACTTCCCTGGCGCACACAGCGATGATACTTTCTCCTCCAAAGGTTAGCCTGGGAATTTTCAACCGAGCAGCAACATCGGTAGCCCATGCAAAGAAAAAATCTGCCACTAGACAATCCGGTCTATGTTCTTCCAGGATATGCAAGACCGGTTCCCGAAGCAAGATCAGGCCCTTAGCGAATTTATGCTGATTTTGGCTCATAGTGACTGCATCAGTACTCTCCCAACCTTCCGGCATCCCTACCTCAGCCGACGGGAATTTGACGGTTTGGATTTGGAACTCCAAACCCAACTGATTGACTCTTTCGATTTGTTTTGAAAAAAGGGTCGCATAGGGAGGGCCAGTGATGATGGTGATTTTTGCGCCTCGAGTCGCAAACATTTTGGCGATGTCCATCATGGGTATCATGTGGCCGTGAGCCGGTAATGGCAGAAAGAATATATGAAGTGGGTTTCTTTCATTCTCCATAGAGACGGAAAAAGAATGATCCAGGCTTTGCTTCGTCTATGCAGCAGACTGCAGAGTTTTAGGAAGCCGGCTAACGTGTTTGTGTGTTTGTTTCCAAGTACATGTCTATAGCCATATATAGACTTTGGCACCACAGGATAGGAAGACCAAGTCCTTGAAACATAAGTCTACTCTTTCTGACTTTTATCACGACTTGGACTGCAAGAAAACTTGGTGTCCAAGATCTCCGGCTGCTTCCTTTTAAAACTGATAAATGGATTAGGCGCAGACAATGAAGACGGGGTGAATTGGGCTGTTTAAGGATACTTGAAACTTTTCGTTATTAATTATTGGAGAGTGTGTAGAACATGCCCCAATGTTGTAGAAACGATCGTGCATGTTTATAAACAAATATCTTTTGCCAACAGAATAAAAAAGAGAAAATGTATATCATATCTGTAGTGGTTTGACCCTACTCCACTCTCCCAGTTTTAATATACATAATCAAGGCTGGAATCCACTATATAATTCTTGAGATGTTACAGCGTGCGTCTGAAGATGCTTCTTTCCACTTTTTGATTTGCTTCTACAGATATAAGCAATCCTCGCTACACTTAACACACTCTTCTCTCGTTACAGATGCTCAGACATATACAAAAGAATACAATCACATTTATAAAATTTCTACACAAGAAGAGATGAACACTCCGAGCATAAACTATTATTTGTTCGTTTTCCCCCGGCTCTAGTACTTCTAGGGTTGAATTTGTAGTCGTGAGACCTCGAAGACCGTTTGAAGTTCAAATGCCACAAGTAACCATTATTTTGCCATATGAAGTCGCAACATCACTCTTAGCTCTGTAGAGATAGTTTTGCAAAATAGCTAGTTATACTTCTGCAATAGTCTATCATCCTCTGTTGCATTTTCAAATATGGTAAACTGTTTTGATCTTCTCCGATTCGCTTTTTGTGGATTCCAATGCCTAAGACCAGCTATAAAGTACCAATTCAAATTCAAACAAAATTGATAAAAACTTTGGATCTTCTCTTCAGAATTAAGATCTGACCTAAAGTTGGTGCTTTTTATGGAATTGACCCGACTTCCAACGGGAAAATAGGGACCAAAAAGATGTAGAGAGCTTTTGTTTTGATTGTTTCTCGGCTCAAAAGCAAGGGAAATACCCAAAAATGCTCGAATAAGCACAAAACAGGATATTTTGATCCTCAATAATTATGATGTTTTTTGTTTGCCGTTTTCATAACAATCGATGATACAAGTTAGGTCAGCTAATCTCTTGCATCAAGAAGATGGAGTTATGGCATGGCATGTAACATGATTTGACAATTTTATAGTATTGTACTTTATAAAAATGGGAATTCCACTACCTCTTCATTTGAAAAAAAAAATGTATTTTTTTATGATGGCTGTACCATTGATGTATAAAATAAAGATAATCGGCTTTGAGTCAATTTGATTGACGACAAGTCGTGTATCCATTACATGAGAATACTTTTCATAAGAAAATTCAAAACTGGCATGATTGTGCATATGTTATGCCTTTCCATCAAGAGCCAACTTTAACAAAAGTAGGTTTCTAAACTAGCTACAAGTTCTGACCAAAAAAAAAAACTAGCTACAAGTGACAACTCTCCCATCTGTTATGTTAATTAAGATCAACTTTTTTCAGGTCACTATCTCTTAAAGGTAAAATAAATAAAAAAATTTACACTGAATCAATTTATCAATCCTACAAAGTTGCCTATAATGTTAAATTATATATCGAGTTTGAACCGTTTACTGAACCCGGCCCAATTGAAGGATGTAAATCGATTTATTAAAGCGAAATCTAATTGAAAAGAAAAAGAAGTTACTTTCCTATTTGATTAGAATTCCTTTCCTTGATTGCCACACAAATTCACGTGAAGGTTCGTTTCCATTGAAGATTATTATCCAAGTTGACTGACAGAAACTTGAATATAGTGGACGTCTGACTTCCATTATTGTGCGGTCAACAAGATTTAAAGGGACAGGGAATCTACTTAATCATCCTGGAAAGTGGCTTATAATGCATGGCTGGTTGTTGTGGTAATGGAAGTACTCATTGTCCTTGCATCTTTCGTATCCTGCTTTTATACCGAGACGTGATGTTCCCATAGAATGATGTCGAAATCATAAGGCAGACTTGGCTTTAGCCTTTTGATGCAGACGACTCACCAGACAGAGGCGACGAATTTTCATCTTTGGAAATTTCCACTTCTCTGAAAAACTGGAACCCGAGTGTATACATGGATCGTCGAATGACTCGGATAGCCGATAACTTCGACTATGCTCATGAGTTCACACGGTGCAAATGAGAAAAGCATGTTCGGCCTACCAGCATATTCTGCTCTAATCCAAGCGTTCTAAGGACTGCATCAATGATGGCCCAAGAATCAGAAACTACATCGCTGAGAATCCTATCTGAATTTCCGAAATTTCCTGCTGAATCATCTGCTAGACAAGTCCTCAAGGCCTAATGATCTGAGGGGTCATGGTAATTAGGCCCAAGCATTCATTGCCGTACTTCTTGGAGCCGAAACAATACCAGTATTGGGGTTCAGAGCTTTAAGGCCCAATGGAAAAGGATGAAAGGGGTGCTTTACGTTTCTTCCTGTCTGGTTCTCGTTTGATATTGAAGGTACTCAATCCATGAATATGGACATGTGTAAGTCAAGAATATGAATTGACTCAAGTCGATGACGAACCCAAATTGTGATCGGTTTGGGCCTAATATACCTTGAACCCCAACTATGGTTATAAGGAAACTTACCGCGAGGACAGAATGAATTACTACCTCTCTGTCTTTTTTTCTAAAACTGTTGCCAGCTGCCAAGTTGTATGCATCTCCCAAGATCAGTTGTGCAGCAGCCAAATACGTCATTAACATGTGACCACTGACGAGGTTGAGCTTGTCGTCTTCTTCCTGTCTTTTTACTCCTGCTTTTTTTCTCTGTTGTACTGTTTTTTTTGTCTGTTAATGTGCACATACAATTCTATGGAATATGAAGTTGCCAAGATCTCTCCGCTACTAGTGTCTCAAGGACAGATAATTCAGAAAAGGGACAGGGCATCTTGCTGTTGAAATTGCGACTATGAGAAACTTTAATTTCTTGGGCACAAAGGAATTCAAAAGAAATGAAAATTAAATGATCACAGCTTTCCTAGAACAAATCCCATGACAAGAAACAGCAAATCCACCATTTTTCTCTACTTCAACACCACCGCAGATACTCTGAAATAGAGAACGGAAGATTTCTATTTCTTCAGCTTTATTCTCCGGAATCAAAACTTCAAGATTGATCGCTTCAGGTCATGAATCATATCTTCTTGTTACTAGCCAATCTCTGCAGTCTGAGCTCTTGAAGCAGAGCACCCAAATCAGACCAAGAAGATCCACCTTCTTCCACAGCCCCTCTTGCCATCTCTGCCAGTGCTTTTGCTCTCCTTCTCATTTCCTCTGCTTCCTCGCCTACCCGGACTCTCTTCACTGCCTCCTCCACTCTATCGCTCTTCACGCTGTCGCCAAACAACCTCACCCACTGCTTCACCCCGACGTCAAGCCCGATCTTAAGCACTTGGGTCACCAGCTTCTCGTTGTAGAATTGCTCTGCCGCGACCAGCCACGTCACCAATGGCACCCCTGCTGTGATTGCTTCCGGGGTCGAGTTCCAAAAACCCCAAATCAGGTACACTAAGAATAAATTTACCGCAAATTAATTTTTCGACAATAAAAATCCTTAAACAGTACTCGATAAATTTACCAAAAACTAATTTTTTTACCACAAAAAACCAAAATTAGTATATTTATGAAAAATTTACTCTTTATTAGTTTCCGTTAAATTGAATTAATACAACAAAAAATCACAAACCCAGTACACCAAGGACAAACGGAGGGTAAAACCCAAATTGGTATGCCGTCAACCGCCACGTGTGACGGGTGTGTACCGATTTGAGGTTTTTGGTGGTAAAAAATTTAGATTGGAGTAAATTTGTCATGCGTATATACCGATTTGGAGTTTTTCGTGGTATTAACTCGTATGTTAATTAAGACAAACTTTTTTCAGGCCTCTATCTCTCGAAAGGACAGGGAATCCATATGCCTAATCCTAGGAAGTGGCTTGTAATGCTTGGTTGGGTATTGTGGCAATGGACACATCGTCCTGGCATCTTTCATATCCTGCTTTTACACCAAATAACGATGTTCACCTAGAATGATGTAGAAATCATAAGGCAGACTTAGCTTTTAGCATTTTGATGGGATGACTCAAACAGATAGAACCGATGAATTTTCATCTTTGGAACTTTAACAGAGTCCGAAGACAAAATTAACATCTTAGGAAAGTTGGACCCCAAGTGTACATGGATCGTCGAATGATTCGATTCGGATAGCTGATGATTTGACAATGCTCATGAGCTCACATGGCACAAATGAGAAAAGTACGTTTTGGGATACCCACAGAGCTCTAATCTCTAATCCAAGCATGCTAGGAACTGCATCAATGATGGCCACAAATTGAGAAAGGAAAGAAACAGCGAATCCAGCAATTTTTTCTACTTCTAAAACCACGACAGAGACTGTGAAATTGAGGATGGAAGATTTCTTTTTGTTGTAGTTTTTTTGGCCGGCGCCGGCGACCGACCATAGGCCAGGGCCGGCGAGGGCGCCGTCGCCCTTGCTTCGACTCTCGCCGGTCGTGATGGTGAGGCCTCGCCATCGCGGCCGCGAGCCGTCCCGCGCCGCGACGCCCTCACCGGCTCCCGGCCTATGGTCGGTGGCGCGGCGCCGGAGGCAGGCGGGCGCAAGCCGGGAAGAAGAAGAACAACAAACCAAGAAAAATAAGAAAACCAAGAAGAATCAAAAATGAAAAAATTGTTCAGAATCAAGCAAGCTACTTTTTTTGCTTCGATTCTATTCTAAAACTGATTCGAAATAATTTTTTGCAAAATTGTCGCTTACGACAAAAAATTTAATAAAAGGATTTGCGTTCCCAAACCGATTCCTAAACAAAAACATAAATTTTTACTATTGGAGTTCGCCAAACGGCCCTAACGTACTTGTCGAGTTCTGCAATACCACGATAGATCCTAGTTCATTGAAAACCCTAGAAGTTAAAAATGGAGACGTCATGCATGACCAATTACACAAGATGGGGCCTCCCTTCAGAATTGGCTACGGGGCATCCAATTTGGAAATTCATTTCTTTCTGTGCAAGGAAAAGTGACTTTAGGATTAATATGCGGTCGCTGAAGCTTGAAAAAATATTCGCGTCTCCTTCCGACTGCAGCAGTAGGCTAATTCTCAGCAACAAAAACAATTCTCCTAATTA